GCAGGCTTCGGCCGACACGATTGCGGTGAGGGGTTGACCGCCGCGGGGCTGAGGGGCAGGAGCGGGCCGGACTGGGGGCCGGTCGGACGCAAAAGGCAGACCGCGGGGGACGGGAATGCAGTCCGCTCTGGGCGTCCCGGGTGCTGCCCGCGGGGTCCCCGGGGTGACCGGGCTGGGGGTTGGAGAGTCTGGGTCAGGGTGGGAGGGTGGAATCCTTGCCCTGGGACTACCTGGGGCTCCCTGGGGCTCCCTGGGGCTGGGGCGCGCGGCATGCATGGGGCCCGATCCATTTTATTAACATAAAGGCCGTTAGCCCAGGTGACGTAGTAGAGCCTCTTGGGGAGCTTTAGAGGAACACCATGCTGGACCCCATCCCTAGAAATTCTGATTTAATTGGTCAGGGGTGAGGCCTGGGCTTGGGTGCTATTGATTAGGTGACTTTAACGTGCAGACCGGCTGCAGATCCATCTCGGGTTTCAGCGCCAGCCCCCGAGTAACCAGCTCCTGCGGGGGAGGCGGAGGGAGGAGGCCCCTCCCCTAACCAGGTGAAATTCCTTTTCCAGCCTGAGGAGGAGGGCAGCCCACCCGCGTGGGTTCCCCCAAGGCCCTGGCCGATCGGGCCTTGCTGTGGGGACACTGGGCAGGAAGACAAGGCTCCCGGTAGCCAAGTAGAAGGCAGAACTGAGAGATACAGTGGGACCTGGGGGTGCTGCTCTTCCCGAGGGCTGGAGAACGCTCATATTGGCCTTTTAGGGGCAAATCCACCCACCATGTGTTAGTTGAACACCTACTGTGGTGAAGGAGCCCGGTGGAGGCAGGGAGCAGAAATCAGAAGTGGGTCTGACCTGGCCCTGCCCTTAAGGAGCCCATCGGAGGCGGGAGGAGGATAAGGGAGGCATTTGGATCCTGATGCAGGAGCCAAGGGATTTGAGAAGAGGAAAGGACACCTGACCGCGTGTCCTTTGGAAGGCTGGTGCCGCTAACCTGGGCCTTGAATCAGCAGGATTTGATAGAATGGAGGTGGGCAGGTTGATGTGAGAAATGCTAAAATGTTTTAGTCAAAAACCCCCGTTTTGAATCTTGGCTTTCGCACTTAATCACTCTGTGACTTGGGGCCAGTTATTTAACCTCCTGAGCCTTGGATGGAGATAGTAACCAGAGTTGTAAGGATTCATGATAGTGGGTATAAAAAATTGACAAATCCTATACACTTGAGAAATGGTGCATAGTTACAGCAAGGGTAGTGAGGAGGAAGGAGCAGCATGAAGAAAGTTGTGAAGGTGGCATTTCAAAAGAGAATCTGAGGTTGGGAGTGTATACCAGGCAGACAGAAGCATCAGTGTTGGCTGCTAGAAAGACAACTTCAATCATGGGTTTGGCAGAAGGGACACTGACTGAAATCTTTGAAAAGATCATGAAACCAAATGTCAGAGACATGAAAAAAAAAAAGTATTTAGAGCTACTGTTTATTGAGGGTCTTCTATGTGCCAGATACTGTGCTTGATACTGTGTCTACCTTTTGCATTCCAGCCCACAGCAGTTTAAGAGGTTGACTTTGTCCTTCTCACTTTATAGATGAGTCTGAGGCCCAGGGAGAGGGAGTGGCTGGCTCAAGACCACACAGCAGGGAACGGAATGGCTCTCCACAAAGTGCCAAGGTGGGGGTGGATTCTGTTACAGGATATTTCAGCAGGTTATGCACGAGGCTGGGTGGGCTCCTGCTCTTTCTCCCCGGGGGAGGCGGGGATGTTATTCTCTGCTAGGGTGGATCGAGGGTGGGAGGCCAGGAGGGGAAGGCGTTTTCTGATGGAGGAGCAGAACCTGGAAGAGAAACCCTGTGAGTGACCCTGCACACTCCCCTCGCAGCCTCTGCTGCTCCTGGACAGGCTGCTTGGCCTCTAGCCCTGCCCTGTGTTGGGGGCTTGTCTCTGTCATTCCCGAATATTGTATTTGCCCCTGCTCATTGCAGGCCCTCCTCTTCTGACCTTTAAAAGTCTCTCCACTTGCTTTGCCACCACCAGAAGAGACCTGACTGCCAGGATATTGCCCTGCTGCTGCCCTGATCTGTTATAAGGGAGCCCAAGGAAAAGCCAGTTTCTGAGCATCTTCCATGTGGTTTGCCTGGTGCTCAGGACATTAGTTTAATCCTCCCTGCACTCCTATAAAGGTGGCATTATGACCCCATCTTAAGAAAACCAGGACTCAGACTGGTTAAGTGACTTGCCTGAGGTTACACTCTTAGTAGGAAGTGCAGTTGACATTAACCCAGACCCTTCTGATGGCACAGTCATAGCCTTTCCATCTCACCCTCTCAAAGGTTTTCTACTGTTGTCCCGGTGGGGGAGCCTGGAGCTTGGGAACTTGCCTGCAAGGTTTACCTTCTCCAGCAACTGGGGCAGGTCACTGGACATCTGGGTGGGAAAGGGAGCTTCACTGCCTTGGACAAAGGCTTTGGAGGTGAGGTAGGGGAGTTCTGATTCCCTGGGGGATCAGAGAAAGTGAGCCAGGTTAAGATTAGTAACAGGAGTACATTGCGCTTTACAGCCCCAAGGCACCTTTATACCCCATCCTTGTGTGGTGGGTAGGGAAGGCTTCAGAGGTTCAATAGTAATAATCTCTAAAGTGCTCACCACACTTACCATGCTGAGTGCTTTAGGGTCTTTTCTCACTGACTCACCACTAACAGTAGCCTTAGGAAGGTTGGCCCCTATTGCAGATCAAGAAACAGGCATAGAGAGGTTAAGCAAATTGCTCCAGGGCACACAGGGACTAAATGGTGAAGTGAGGACTTTGGAGACCTCCAGTGTGTCTTCTCTCAGCTCTGTTACTTAGAAAGTGCCAGGGGCACTTGTAGGGTGACGGGTATGTTCATGATCTCAGTTGTGGTGATGGTTTCACAGGTGCATATATGTTAAAACTGACCAGACTGTACACTTTGAATATGTGCAGATTATTGTATGTCAGTGATACCTCAATAAAGCTGTGAAAGAAAAGAAAAGCATTTCCCACCAACCGTTCCTTCAGAGGCTCAAAGTTCCAGAGAGAAGCCACTTGGCCATCTTCCTGCTTTGGGGTAAGGTAGGACCATTGTGGCCTGGGAGAGGTTCTCATAGACTTAGTGGGTGGTTTCGGGTAGTTTTGGCAGCTTCTCCTTCTCTCCTTCCCCCACCACTAGGCATGGACTGGCACCAGGCTGGGGGTGCGTACAGATCTCTTAAGTAATTTCCAGTTGGCTTCCAGTGAGTCTGAGAGCGACCCCAGGGAGACTCTCTCCTCTTCTTCCATCAGACCCTCTTTCCTTACCAGCCAGTTACTCCCAGAGCAAGAGTGTCAACTTCAGCCCATTCTCCTTGAGAGGGAGGTAGAGGGAGAAGACACAGGCCCTGTCCTCGAAGGCCCCCAATCAGGCTGCAGTGGGCAGGCAGAGAGTCTGCTGTGCAGGGGCAGAAGGCATCAGTGAGGGCCGAGGAGTTGGAGAAGGTCTCCTGGACACGGTGCTGGCTCCTAAAGGATGGGGGAGATGGAGATGGGGAGGTGGAGAGGGTGCTTCTCATGGGAGGCTCCAGCAAGCACAAAGGCCTGGCCAGAGGAGAAGGTGGCTTGAAGATGCAAGGCAGACCTGGCTAGACAGGCTGGGAGAGGCCAGACAGCAGAGGCCCCTGAAGGCTGCGCAGGGAGCGGGAGCCATGGCGGGTAATGGGGGAAGGACCGGTCCTGTGGGGTCATTACTGTTGGACTGGGGCTGAAGTCAGCTCTCTAGGGCCTGACCTTGCTGGGAAACAAGTTTTAGCACTGTGTGTGAGAGTATATGTGAGCGTGCGTGTGTGTGTATGTGTGTGCTCACCCACACGCACATGTATGCATGGACATAGAGATGAGGCCCATGGGCAGGCTTGGGTCACAGAGGCTCAGCCCTCAAGGGTGGGTATAAGTCTCCTAGGGTTGCTGTAACAAATGTCCACAAACTGGGTAGCCTGAAATAACCAAAACGTATTCTCTCACAGTTCTGAAGGGTAGAAGTCCAAAATCAAGGTGTCAGCAGGGCCACGGTCCCTCTGGAAGGCAGATCTAGAGGTGTCTATCCTTGCCTATTGCGGCTTCTGGCGTTTGCCCTAATCCTTGATATTCCTTGACTTGTCGCTGCATCACTCCAATTTCTGCCTTTGTCTTCATCTGGCATCTCCCTGCTGTGTGTGTGTCTGTCTCTGTGTCCAAATTTCCATCTCCTTATAAGGAAGCCAATCATGGGATCAGGGCTCATGCTAATTCAGTATGACCTCATTTTAACTTGGTTACATCTACAAAGGCCCTATTTCCAAGTAAGGTCACAGAGGTACTGGGGGTTAGGACTTGAACACATTTTTTGGATGCAATTTAATTCACAACAGGGAGTGTGAGAAAAGGAAGTGCCCATAGCTTCTCGCTGGGGGTCCATCAAGCACACCTGGGCTTGTTTCTCTAAAAAGAGAACGGCAGCTTTGAGCCTAGCAAAAACGATGGACTTAATGCCTCACTGTTTATTTTATTTATTTATCTATTTTTAAAATATATTTATTTTTATTGATTTCTTACAGAGAGGAAGAGAGAGAGATGGAGAGTTAGAAACATCGACGAGAGAGAAACATCGATCAGCTGCTTCCTGCACACCTCCTGGTCGGGATGTGCCCACAACCCAGGTACATATGCCCTTGATCGGAATCAAACCTGGGACTCTTCAGTCCACAGGCCGATGCTCTATCCACTGAGCCAAACCGGTCAGGGCAGTGCCTCACTGTTTAAAGTGCACTCATGGTCCAGCAACGTGGTGTCACCTGGGAGCCTGTTAATGTGGAATCTTAGATTCCTCCCCAGACCTGAGGAGGAACTATGTCTCAGCACAGTCCTCAGGTACATTTCAGTTGGAGAAGCAGCGCTCTACTAAAAATCCTACCTTTATTTCCTTTCCCACCCATGACCGTCAGTCCAGCCTGCCAGTTTCTGCACAAATCGGCCTGGTTGGAAACCAGGCAACCATGCTGTCCTCTGTTCTCTCTTTTCACGTAACACGTTCTTGAGTTTCTCTTCCATGTGTCGAGTTTCTCCATGTGCTTCCGCTTTCTAGAGAGCATCAGCTTCCTGAGCCGGTCCCTTTGTTGTGTTCTTGGGCTGTGTCCAGTTTTTTGTTGTTTGTAGACGTGGCTGCCATGAACATCTCTATACACATTCCTTGGGGGTTAGCTCCTTGAGGAGGAATTTCTGGAATCAAAGTGCATGGGCAGTTGTGGACTCTTATTACGCTTCTATATCTATGGGACTTACCGTCACAGCAGGTTTCTCCGTTTTATCCAACAGTTTGTAGGAACCTGATTTGGGAGGGCAAGTGGCAGATAAGGCTTTGGAGCCAGAGAGGCCAAGGTTCAAATCTACATGTTTGCTGTGTGACATTGGGCAAATTATGTAACATCTCTGAGCTTGGCGTTGCTCTATAATATTGTAATAGTGCTATACACTTTGTAGGGATTTTGTAAAGCTAATAATGACACCACCAACATCCATTCATTGAGCACTTTCTGTGAGTTACCTTGTTTAATCTTTTTTTTTTTCATTGGTTTTTTACAGAGAGGAAGGGAGAGAGATAGAGAGTTAGAAACATCGATGAGAGAGAAACATCGATCAGCTGCCTCCTGCACATCTACTGGGGATATGCCTACAACCCAGATACATGCCCTTTACCGGAATCGAACCTGGCACCTTTCAGTCCGCAGGCCGACGCTCTATCCACTGAGCCAAACCGGTTTCGGCTTGTTTAATCTTTTAAGTGTCTCTGCAGAGTAAGCATGATCATCTCCTTTTCCCTTTACGGAAGAGGAAACTGAGGCTTGGGTTAAGTAGCTTGCAGTTATATTGTAGGTACACTGCCTGCCCAAGCCCAAGGTTGTCACATCTAGATCATGAAGGGCAGATGGTGCACATGAAAGAAGATACTGAGCACATAGCCTGAGCAAGGTTGGCCCTGGCTCAACACTTGTTGGACGCCTGCCTTTGCTTCCCACGCCTTATCAGTTTTCTCGGGTTACTCCCGGGTACGGTGGCGAACACAGCACTGTTTCAGCTGTATGTCATTACCAATTCCCCAGCTCTATTTTATGGGCAAACTTTCTCCCAGTGGGAAATGAGTTTTTAAATGACTCACAGGTCTGTGGTTTGGAGCACAGCTGGCTCTGATCCTTGCAGCTAACCAGCTCCTTCTTCCCCAGGGACAAGGATGGCCAGACTGCACGTGGCCACGAGTGCATCTCAGCGCTCCTAGGCTGAGGCTGAGGCTGGGCTGGGCTGGCAGCCATGGGGCTGGGTGGGCCCCAGGCCTGGCTGTTGAACTTGCCCACAGCTGTGGTCTATGGCTCCCTGACCCTCTTCATCACCATTTTGCACAACGTGTTCCTGCTTTACTATGTGGACACCTTTGTCTCAGTGTACAAGATCAGCAAAGCTGCCTTCTGGGTCGGAGAGGTAGGCCAGCGCTGGGGTGGGAGTCGGGCAGATGGCAGTGCTGGGTCCCGCCAGGAGCCAGGAGCGTGGGAGCGTGGGAGCGTGGGGGCAGGCCGGGCTGCCCACTGAGGCTCAGCAAGAAAAAAAGCTGAGCTGGAGGCCTTGATGACGCTTCAGTGGGGATTACACCAGCTCTGGCCACTGTCCTCTGAGCCAGGAACTGTTGTATGTATTCACATACATTAATGTATCAGCTGGGCCATGGCCAGGTGGGAGTTTGATGGGGGCAGTGGCCTGTAGAGTGGGTTTTAGCAGAGGGGCTGACCTGAGCGAAGTGTGCAGGCAGGAAAGCTGTTGTCATTTGTGAGAGGTGGTGAGCAGGCGGGGTAGGGGAGCCCTGGAGAAGAAGCTGCCTGGAGCCCACGCATCTTCCCTCTGCCCGCAGACGGTGTTTCTCCTGTGGAACAGCCTCAACGACCCCCTCTTCGGCTGGCTGAGTGACCGTCAGTTCCTCAGCTCCCAGCCCCGGTTTGTGTCTTGGGGGAGGCTCACCACTGGTCCTGTCCCACCCGACCCTTCCCCAGGACTGGCGGACCCCCACCTGTGTTTGGGGTGGGGAGAGAAAGGGAGACTGTTTTCAGCTATTGTCGAGGCTTCCTCCGCTCCCCGAGGTCAGGGCAGACTGTCTGGGTTGGCAGAGTGGCCTGACTCACTATTGGCCTTGATCACCTTGTGACCTCAGGTCCGCTTGTCTGGCCCTCGGGACGGGGCACTCACTACCTCACACTCTGCTGCTTCTGGCAGATTACCCCCTCCCTGCCCCAACCCTGAAGAAGTGGTATCACACCCCTCTTTGGCCCTCAGCCCTGGCAGTGGGCAAGGGAGCAGAGGAGGGAGTACCCCCTGGTGAGTTGTGCTTCCTAATTGGAGGCAGAGGACTCGGAGCTCAGTGGGACACCCTGGGGTGAGTCCCACATTCTGGGCCTCTGTCCCTCTTCTGGGTCCTGAGCTGGGGGGACTGGGAACCAAGGCTGCAAGGGCACCTCCCGACAGCCCTCCTCTCCCTGGCAGGTCAGGCTCTGGGCTCTCCTCGAGGGCCGTGGTGCTGGCACGGGTGCGGGCACTTGGCTGGCACGGGCCGCTGCTGGCGCTGTCGTTCCTGGTGTTCTGGGTGCCCTGGGCCCCAGCAGGCCTGCAGTTCTTGCTGTGCCTGTGCCTCTACGATAGCTTCCTGACGCTCGTGGACCTGCACCATCACGCCTTGCTGGCTGACCTGGCTCTCTCGGCCCACGACCGCACCCACCTCAACTTCTACTGCTCCCTCTTCAGTGCGACTGGCTCCCTCTCTGTCTTTGCCTCCTACGCCTTCTGGAACAAGGAGGACTTCTCTTCCTTCCGTGCCTTCTGCGTGGCACTGGCTGCTGGCTCTGCGCTAGGCTTTGTGGGGGCCACGCGGCTCCTGAGGCGGCGGGTAGAGGCGGCCGGTAGGGAGCCGGGGTGTCCAGACCTGGCTGCGGAGAGCGGGTGAGTGGCCAGCACTGTTCCGAGTCTGACTTCAGTGCTGATCCCCTGTCTGATGGGTGGCTGCCCTGGGGTGGGGGTGGATCTGGCCCAGCCCTAGGCTGTTCTTGACTCCCCTCTGCCCCATAGCCTGTGTGGAGAGGAGGCGGGCAACATCACCTTGGGCCAGTACCTCTGGCAGCTGGCGCGTCACCGGAACTTCCTGTGGTTCGTGGTCATGGACCTGGTGCAGGTATGGGAGCAGCCTCCCCCACCCAGGATAGGCCGGGTAGGCCTCACTCAGCGGAGTAGGTTTCTCAAACGCTGGGAAATCAGTCCTGGGCTTCGCCCGATGACTGCAGGGTGATTCGAAGGCAGGGACACAGGTTGGGTAGTTAGAAGACCTGGGTTCTAGCACCATCTGAGCTCCTAACTCCTTGTGAAGTCTTAGGCAAGTCACAGCCTCTGGGGACTCTGTGACAACCTTTTAAAAATACCAAGTGCCACACCTAAAACGCAGGCAGTATATAAGCTAGCCAAATCGTTTTTATGTCATTAAGCTTGCTTTACTAAGGTGTTTTTAATTTAAAAGAAAAAAAAAACTTTTAACTGTTCTAATGACAATGTTATCATTCTTAACTTTTAGCAAAATTCGATAAGCAACAGGAATTGGTTTTAGGTCTTGTTGTGGCATGTTCCATGCTGAGGGACAGGGGATAAAGGCTGCCCTTTCCCGGGCCGCCCCCTGCCCGGCAGCCTCCTCACCCCCCTGCTGGGTTTCAGGTCTTCCACTGCCACTTCAACAGCAACTTCTTCCCCCTCTTCCTGGAGCACCTGTTGTCAGACCACATCTCCCTCTCCACCGGCTCCTTCCTGCTGGGTGAGTGGGTGTCTCGGGCAGGCTGGAAGGGCAGAGGCTCGCACCCAGGACCCCTAGTCCAGCTGCAGGCACAGCCACTCCCCAGCTCGGGCCTGGGTGCAGAGGGCAGGGTCTGTGGTGGGCTGCACCTCCAGCCCCCAGCTCTGTTTTCCTGAGGAAGGGGTGAAGGAAGCCTGTTGTGGGTAGGAGGGGGCAGGGCTGCTCTCATGGCGGTCCTCTCGGTGATGGTGCCGCCCGGAAGGAGACGGCACAGTGTGCCGGGCCTGGCTGTGAGTCCGGACGGTGCTTATTGACTGTTTGGCCTTGGGTGTTTTATTTCCTATCTTTGGGCCTCCATTTCTCACTTGGAAGGTAGGAGTAATAGTACCTACCTTAAAAGGCTGTGGGGATTAACTAAAAGGATGCAAATTAGCTCTCGGCACAGAACAGAGCCTGGCAAAGCCCTGATTCTGACTGTTAAAATGTGGACAGTTGTGGAAGCTGCCGCAGTGTCCCGACAAGGCTGCACCCCTTCTCCTCAGGCATCTCCTATGTCGCCCCCCATCTCAACAACCTCTACTTCCTGCCCCTGTGCCGGCGCTGGGGCGTCTACGCCGTGGTGCGGGGGCTCTTCCTGCTTAAGCTGGGCCTGAGCCTGCTCATGCTTCTGGCAGGCCCCGACCGCCCCGGCCTGCTCTGTCTCTTCATTGCCAGGTATGCCCTGCCCTCCCTCACCCCACACCTCTGTTGCACCCCTTCACTCTTGCCTGCTTTCTCTCTCTGCTGGCAGCAACCGTGTCTTCACGGAGGGCACCTGTAAGCTATTGACCTTGGTGGTCACTGACCTGGTGGATGAGGACCTGGTGCTGAATCGCCGCAAGCATGCGGCCTCGGCGCTTCTCTTCGGCATGGTGGCCCTGGTGACCAAGCCAGGCCAAACCTTGGCCCCACTGCTGGGCACCTGGCTGCTGTGCTTCTACACAGGTGAGGGCCCAGGGCTGGCAAGGGGCTTGCCTGGCATACCAGCTGACAAGCCTGGCTCTAGGTCTGGTGAGGGAGAGAATGGCAACTGGGTTACCCTGGCTGCCACACCTCCTCTGCCTCTCCACCATGAGTAGAAAAACTGGGTTTCTGATTCTTCTTTCAAGAGTTCATTCATGGATTCGACAAATATGTATAGAATACTGTCTCTGCCAGGTGGTGCTCTGAGTGCTAGGGAGACACCAATGAGACATACGAGGTCCTCGCCATCGTGAAGCTTAATTCTAGTTGGGAGGAGGGGGATGTGGTGTTATGTAGCCAAACAAGAAAATAGCAGATGGTGATAAGCGCAGGGGTGAAAACACAGCAGGTCTTCAACAGATGGGGTTTTGTTCAGTGTTGTTGCATTATAATGTTGCTGAGATGCTGTAGGAACTTCACTTGTTTATATCGATTAG